TGATTTGCCGCAGAATAAGTATATGCCCTCTAACTGTGATATTGTTTACTCTTTGCGTAGGTACGGCATCGCCGCATTCGAGGCAGATAATGTGAGGGGCCATATGTCTGTAATGTATCCACCTGCACCTGTTCCGTTGCCAGTGATGTTGCCTAGCAACGCATACATGTACCCACCCTCTCAGTCCGCAGGCAAGATGAAGCTGGCAATCAGACTATCACAGAGCAGCATACCCACGCACCAACGGAAGGTTGCCATGGATACGGTGACCAGTTCAATAGAGCACTCGCGGAAAGGCCAGGCCCACTCTACTCCAATTGAACGGATATTTGCACCACCACACGGATTTGCACAAGCGCAACTCAGTGCCGCACAAGCACAAGCACAAGCCCAAGCACAAATACAAGCACAGGCGCAGGTGCAGAAGAAACCTGATGGCTCGTTGTTCACACAGCCTCACCCTCAACCCAATGGACCCACAAACGCGCATGTACGCCCGTATCCCCACGGTCCCAATGGAAGCATACCACCCCAGGCAACCACCCTGCCGCAAGGCCCTTTAACACAAACACAGCAGCCATATCCAAACCCACCACTCGTGCAAGCAATGCCACAGAGATATCCCGAGGTATCTGCACCCGTCGGGGCGCCATCACAGCCACATGCACGCGATGGTATAGCCGCTCCCAGGCAGGAGGCAGACAGTACACTGCACGTTCAGCGAAACCACACGGCGGAGAAGCCATCTAGGGCGGACAGCCCCAGCAAACGAACGCTTATGGTGGGCCATTCGGTGGATGTCGGCGCATTTCGCCGTCGACTGTATGCGTCATCGGTATACCAGAACTACAACACATACCTGACCAGTGAGAAGGATGATGCAAGGACACATAACAGCCTACCACCAGGTGTGGCCTACGTTGTGGATGGGGTTATATAGTAATTTGTGTTCATGTACGTGTTTGTATGTATTGTCCATGCGTGGTTTTAGCGGTGTGGCCTACGTTGTGGATGGGGTTGTATAGTAATTTGTGTTCAAGTATGTGTTTGTATGTATTGTCCATGTGGTTTTAGCGGTGTGGCCTACGTTGTGGATGGGGTTGTATAGTAATTTGTGTTCAAGTATGTGTTTGTATGTATTGTCCATGCGTGGTTTTAGCGGTGTGGCACACGTTGTGGATGTGGTTGTATAGCAATTTGTGTTCAAGTATGTGTTTGTATCTACTGTCCATGTGTGGTTGTGCGGAGGTGCGGAGGTGCGGATAATCAAATCTTTGTCTCAGCTTTCGTGCATGTTTCTGTTTCTATATTCATGTGTCAGTGCACATACTATGTTTGGGCGGTGGATTCGAGGCAGCACAGCCGAGGATGCTTCTATATTCGAGGTATAGAGCCTCAGGCACGAGCCGACACGCACCATTATACACACAGCCGACACACACGTTGGTTCACACAGCCGACACACACGTTTATACACACAGCCGACACACGTTTATACACACAGCCGACACGCACGTTTATACACACCGCCGACACACACGATTATACACACAGCCGACACACACGTTTATACACACAGCCGACACACACGTTTATACACACAGGCGACACACACGTTTATACACACAGCCGACACACGTTTAAGCCGACACACACATTTATACACACAGCCGACACACACGTTTATACACACAGCCGACACACACGTTTATACGCACAGCCGACACACACGTTTATACACACAGCCGACACATGTTTATACACACAGCCGACACACGTTTATACACACAGCCGACACACGTTTATACACACAGCCGACACACGTTTATACACACAGCCGACACACATGTTGATACACACAGCCGACACACGTTTATACACACAGCCGACACACACGTTTATACAAACAGGTGTATATGTTCTGTAAATGCACCGTGTGTGCATAGCTCATGCGTGTCGGGGTCTCGTTGTGTATCAATCTCGTCTGCAGTTTGGTACACTTGTGTGCTGCGGTGTGTATGTCGCTCGCTCGCTCCTACAGTGTCCCTGAGACATGTAGACGGCACCTTACGTACCAGCATTGACTGCTTATCGAGTGATTTAGGTACCGCTCAACTTCACGCACTCACGCGCTCCTACCACGCACAGGGAGAACGCCCCAGCTGAAACGCCACCCTGGGCCCATACGTCGACCAGAACCGCCCAAACGCATTCGCTTCTACCAGCTGCAGGCACCGGTGCCCGTCATCCCCGTTCTCAAAACCAACACGCGCGCACTCCGGGCCAAGGCCAAGACCGAACACTTGCCACAGGAAGTGATAGACGCGCAGCACAAACGCCCACTCATCACACTCGGACGACTGGTCATGGCGCTGCAGACACGCTCCCTGTGGGAGACATGGAACGCGCTCAACACGCTGCTGGTGTTTACGAGGGACTTACAACTGCAGGTGGTGCCTGTGCACGAGTGTGATGATTTGTTGGTGTCGCTGGATGGGCTCCTGCGGGAGGCGGTGGAGAAGGTGGTTGCCATGCCAACGGAGCAGACGAAAACCTTGCGCAAGACGATGGCGGGCAGTGTATCGGGTCTGAAGCGAAGTAGCACGCAAACTGCAGGACAGACACCGGATAGTAAATCAAAGGCACACTCCACTGCTTCATCTCAAGGACAAATGAGCAGGAAGCAGAAAAGCAACCACCCCGACACCTTGCTATTAGAGGCTCGTACTATGAGCAAACAAAATAGTTTAAATGGTCCCTATACTCGACCACCCCCAATCGCGCCCACTAGTATGAACTCAGAAACCAAGCCACGCACACAGACAGATGGCCACACTTCCACAGTAGCCGATAGTAACTCGCCCACAAAATCCGCACTACAGACACCCACCACACCTGCGACACGCGCACAAGCATCTCCCACTACACACCCAAACACCCACACTGCCCCGGCCAAAGCGCACCCCTCAGTGCACACACCACCGGTGGCGGCAGCGCGAGAGTGCAATAGACCCAACCGGCATCGCCAGTACGCACCAGACTGTACCGAACAGTGCTGTCTGAGCACGAGCAGTGAAGCCCCGTTTCCATGCCAACGGGACTTTCCCCGCGTACGTGACAACGTACACATGGTGCTGAATGAGCTGGACGATGAACACGCCCAATGGGTGGAGCTGATCAACACCGTGGTCACTATCCTGGCCAATGTTAGCTCGTTTAAAAACATCGCGCCGCGGTTTGCGTACCGACTGACGCTGGTTTCATCGCTGGTGAAGGTCTTGACCGATCGACAGGTGAGTGCCCCTGCTGTTCCTCGTGGTGTGTGGGGGGGTGTTACAAAACCTAAAACCCTAAAACACGTGGTATAGAGTTCTCGAGGGCGAGGGTGGGTTTGCAGGGAGCAGGGACAGTGTATTGTTTTTCTTAGCGGTTCCTGTGTGCGCCATGGAGCTGGATGATGTCTGGGTTTGTCTTTGTGATCTACTCAGTGGTCGGTCATTGTTTGCATACTCACTCCAACCATGTACTGATCTATGCGAGTCTCTGAGACCACAGTTGTTGTGTCAGTCTGTACTGTACGTACACCTGTGTTGATGTAATGCGGACTTGTGGGGCGTTTAATAATGTCTATCACAGTCGCACAACCACAGGGATTTGTACTGTAGTTTGTGTGTGTTGAGTGGTATCATTCGCCCGTGTGTTTGTGGCTTATACATATTCTGTATACGTATTGATCTATACCGGTGAAAACATGCTCTAACCCTTCAAGATTAACGTATAATATATTCGCGCGCATTGCGTTGGATGTGTAACTCAGCGAGTCTGTGATCTCAAACCGAGTCCATCGTTACATCTCTACAGCACATAGCGGAGGATGTTCAATTCAGCGCACTCGTGGTACTGAGCAACATCTCCGACAATCTCTGTCTACCGGATCTCCAGAAAGCTGGCTGCCCCCCCAGTCGATTGCTGGAAGCCATTATGCACTTTGCAGATCTCCAGACTCTCGCCCCAAATTATTCGGTAAGCAAACTTCATTTAATCATATATGAACGTGAATCAAGAAAAACATATACTTACGTCATATACATATACATATATAC